CTGAGACAGTGAGTTTACCGTGGAACAAGAACCCACAGCTCCTGACTCCAAATCCCGGGCTCCTTCCACTCCACCACTTTGTGTCCTGAATTTTGACAGCTACCCCTTCCCACTTCCCATCCCCAATCCATCTTCCGGGCATCCATTTGCTTAAGTTAACCATACCTAGGCACTTAGTCAATGTTTGAAGTGAGTTGATGCAAAACCACTCAGTTTAGAATAATGGCCTCTTGGAGTTGGCAGGGACCTGAATAGCTGCCCTAACCCAGGCAGAAATCATTTGACAATTTCCCAGAGACGTTGAGCAGGCTGTGTGAACACTTCTGGTAACAAGAACCTCCTATTCTCAAGACAGCCGACTCCATTTTGGGGATATCTCTGCTCTTCCCTGTATCGGAGTCCAAACCTGCCTCCCTTTCCCAGTCACCCCTGGGTCCTAGTTGTGCCCTCCCCAGCTACACTGGCTGCCCTCCCCATGACAGTCCTCCACGATGGCTGTCACTGATAAAGGATCAGACTGGCTCTGCTTGGCCCCAGAAGGCAGAACTAGGAGCAACCAGTGGGTGCAAGTGGCAAGAGGGCAAATGCTGAGGGAAAGACAAACTCTTCCACAATGAAGGCTGCCCCAAGTGGAAAGAGCTGCCACAGATCCAACTATCCTCTCGACACCAATGATTCTCAGCTTACTCATCTAGTCCTAACCTCCAGTCTTGAATCACCAGTTGCCTACTGGACATCCCAAACTGGATGTCCTGTAAACATATAGAAACTGAATTTATCTTTCTGAAAATATTCTCCCCTTTTGACACTGCCAAGAGCATCAGCAGCAGCAGCAGCAGCAGCAGCAGCAGCACCACCACCACCACCACCAGCACCATCACCACCATCATCATCATCATCTTCATCCTTCCAGTCTCACCCAGGCCCATAATCAAGCTGTCATCCTCACCTCCTGGTGCCAAGTCCTATGGATTCAACCTTGGAAACATCTCTCATATATACCCCCTTCTGACTTGACTCTCAGAAAGTAGTGAAATTACCCATCCCCAGAGACATTTAGGCCCAGACCAAACTGACCACTTGCTGGGCATGCTGCAGAAGGCTTAAAGAATCCTATGCTCCTCAGGACTTTTTCCAGTCTGTTCATGTCCCTCTGAAAATATGGCTGTGCAATACTCTAGATACAGACTACTCAGTGAGAACACGGCAGGCCTATCATATCCCTTGTTCTCTGAGTACATTGTTAGGGCAGCCATGTTTCACTGTTCCCTCACTTTGGAGCTGATGGTCAACTAACTGTACAGGCTATACCACCTCTCCCTGTATTTCCTCTTCAGGAAGTGAAGGAAAAGGCCATATATCAGGAATGTAATTTTCCCCATTACAGAACAGGGCGGGGTCAGGCAAGGCCTGTTGAGCACTGTGACAATCTCACAGCTGTGGTCTAAAGAATAAGTGTGGACAATAGAATCTAAGCTTAAGATGAGTTCTGAAGGATTAAATCCTGTGAATGTTTAATAAAATAAAATCAAGAAAAATTAATGGCATTGTTGCCAGAGCCACTGGGCGAGCGAACATGTCTGTGAGCCCAGTTTCCCCAGGTAGGATATGAGAAGGCTGGCCATGATATCCTAGATCTCTTCCAACCCAAAGTTTCTTTGACTCTATGATCCTCATTCCTCAAAGGACAACAATACTGAATGCCAATATACCCAATACTCACAGGACCTGAAAAAGCTGTTTGCTGCCAATACAAGCGACAAGTTGAGAATAAGACTGAGAACAAGGTCTCAAGGTTCTGTCTGCCCAAAGGGTCCGGACCCATGTTTTGCTCTCAGGCGTCCAGTCTAATGGTCTGCTAAGAAAGCTCCCTTCCAAAATGGATTGTTTTCATGTAAGTATATGATATAATAGCAGGCCTCACATATATGATTCTGGGCTTTTGAGCATTTTCAGAAGTCAGAAAGCATCTCCAACCTTCTCAGAAAATTACAGCACATTAGAATTACATGTGGGGAAAAAAACTCAAGAAGTTAACTTTAGACAAAAAAAGTTTTATGTAATAGAATTGGGTTGATTTCTCAGTCATTCAGTAAGTATCTTCTATGTGCTAGGCACTGGGAATATGAAGCCAAAAATGCAACAAGATCATAATATCAGAAATTCAAGGATTTTGGAAACCGTCTGGTTCAACTCTCACTTTTTAAAAAACAGATACAGACCTAAGAACCAGAGCAGTGAAGGAAGAAGAGGCAAAGTTCAAAACCGACTCCAAATCCAATTCGACATCCACTCCAATTAGACAGTCCATGATGACCATCACTTTTAGTTCACAATTATTCAATTTTTTAAAAAATTATATCTCCAAACAAAATGGATAGCACAGAATGGTTTCTGAAGTACTCACATTTAACCTACTACTCTCTAGAGGTTCATCCACTATCTTGGCTCACACCAAGTACCAGGTAGGCTCTGCTTAGGACACCTACCTAGTGATCTAGGAGAGGAGAGAACAAAATGTCCCTGCCTAGTACTGGGGACTCTTTTGATTGACTCCTTGGGAGAAGTCCCTGGAGTTCCAAGGCCTTCTTCCCTTCTCTTGCTACTGCTACTGCTACAACAAGGAGAAGTGAAATCCACACACGGACAACACTGTGCAGCTCTAACTACAGAACTGCACATGGTGAGGACTTAAGGCAGGTTTGGGTTAAAAATAGGAAGCCATGTCCCAAGAGACATTTACTTCTCCAGTACCAGAGGATCAAAGAGCTTGAGAAGTTATGGTGTCCCAGGGGGAAGAAATTATTTCACCAACTCGAACAAAACTAGCCAGTCTTATTTTGTTGGTAAGGTAAATGAACCGACTGGTTAGCCACAAGTTCTGGAAACTATCAAAGAATCACAGAATCAGAGGGTTGGAAGAGACCTCAGTGGCCATCCAATCCAACCCATGCACAAAAGGACCTCCCCCCCACTTCTGTTCAGCCTCTGCTTGAAGACCCTTCATGTGACAGCCCTTGAACACCTGAAGTGATCCCGCCCCTCCATAGTCTTTTCTTCTGTGGGATAAACATTCCCAGATTTTTCAAATGATCCACGGCCTAAAAGCCCTTCACCATCCTGGGTCCCCAGCTCTAAGACACTTTCCCGTTTATCCATGTCAATCCTAAAATGTGGCCCCCAGAACTGAATACCATCTCCAGATGAGGTCTGAGGAGGGCAAAAGGCAGTGGGACCATCACCTCCCCATTTTTGAAGATCAGCCTCTCATTAAAATGGAGCCTAAGATTACTGCATTCCTCTGACTTAATATTTTCAAGAAATTCAACAGTCACTTCAAGAGTAAACGGCTTTGTACAGTGGGCAAGGAGAATGATGCTGCAGCAGCTTCAGACTGACAGCTGAAAATGGGAGAGACTGGTACAGTACAAAGGGTGCTGGGTTTGGGATCAGAGCACTGGGGTCCAAATCCCACCTGGCCACTCCCTCCTTACCTGGGTGACCTTGGCCAAATCACCTCCATGGGTGTCAGTCCCTCATCTGTCACAGGAGAGGCTTGGCCTGGAATGCCTCCGGGGTCCTAACTCTAAATGCAAAGGGTCGAGGTCTCTGGCAGAAACCATTTTTTCAAGGAGGCAAACTTTAAAAACCTTGATTACAGAAAGGGAGAATGTTTGCGGTACTCTTTGATCTGCTGATGCACCTGTCTCAGCCCCTGAATTTAAACAAAACAAGACGCTCCAACCATTTCACATCAGTGGTTATCACCAATCGATTTCAGAATGGTGTTAAGCACACAGAGAACAGGAAGAGCTAAGGGCTAAGCAAAGCGTGTACACCTTGGAGCTGCCCAAGAAGACGCTTCAGTAGCTTGGGCTCTGGCCGCAGCTGCACCATCTGCATATTTTAAAACTGCACATCTTCTGTGTCTGAAGAAATGTAGTACCTTTCCCAACAAAGGTATGGAGAATGCATTTGAACTGGCATTTATACAACATCCGTCTAACACCGGGGCAAGCACAATAGGTACCCGTACAATCAACAGTTCCTATTTACTTAACAAAAGAGACCAAGGCAGTCGAAAAGGCATAACCGGACAAGTGACAAACATGCAAGGTGGAACAATTCCAGTGCCAAACAGCTCCTGCTCCCATACAACCAAGGCGGCAGTGAACTTCCCTTCTCTCTAGGGAGAGCCTGGGGGGCTTCAAGTGGTTTTTGAAATCAATGAAAGAGCCCCAAGGTCCAGAAAAGAGAGGCAAGTGCTAAGGACCTATTCAAAAAAGTGAATATTTAACTACAGTAGAACTACTCAACATCTTTCTTACAGATTCTCTGTCACCAAAACATCCTGCAAAATTAAGGCGAAAGAGCACAAAGCTGTGGCTGTGCCTCCAACCACCAGATTACTCAGCACTTGTTTATATCTCTTAGTTGACTGGGTGTTGAGTACATTTATAGTTATCTCGTCTCCCCCTTTATTTAGATCGCCTTTTCCCCTACAGTTGGAATCTAGTGGTCAATTCCCTTTGCCTCCCAGCAGTGCTTAAGACAGGGTCCTGACAGACAGGACCATCAGTTACCAGCTTCTGGGAGAGGCAAAGCCCTAACGTTTCTCCCATCCCTGGCCTCAAGTGCACTGCAGTGGATGGGAAAAAGTTCCTTCCCTCTGGACTTACAAGGCAGGTTAACAGCTCGAGGATGAGACGAGCCAAGTGCAAGCTCTGGGCTCCTTAGCCCTTCACCTCAATCCTCCCGGGGCCAAAGCTAGAGCGATTAAAGCCAAGCCCTGGGCACCCCGAGTTAAGGCGCACCCCTAACCCGTTCGGGCCCGGAAGCGGGGTGGCCAGAGGTAGAGGGGGGAAGACTTGAGCGAACCTCGCTCAGGAGTCCGTGGGCGCGGGAGGGGGAGCAGCTGGCCCTCCCAGCAGGGGTCCACGATCGGGACTCTCAGAGGGGAGACGGGGCGGGCAACTCTTGGGGTCAGGAGTTCTCCTTACCCGGCAGGGTAGGCACCCCCCAGGTGCACGTCCTCGGGGGCATCGTAGAACTCCTCGGTGTCGCTGTCCGACGCCATTAGTGGGACACACCCCGGGGGGGGGCGGGTCCCTCCTCCTCCTTCTTCTGCCCCCGGCAGCGGAGAGACAGCGGCCCGGCCCGCCGGGACTGGGGAGGGGGAACAGACGGACCGCCGGAGGGAGGGAGGGAGGGAGGATGCTCCGCCGGCGGCGGCTGCGGGCGGACCGCCGGGGAGACTCAGCCCGGGGCGACAGAGCCGCACTCAGCCGGTCCCACGGCTGGCGGGGGGGCGGCGGCGGCCGAGGACGCGCGGGGGCTCCCTGCGGCTCCGGCCCAGAGAGGAGCGGGGAGAAAGAGGGGGCGGCTCCGACTCGGGCTCGGACTCCGCGCCGCGGGGGAGGGCGGGGGCGCAGGCGGCGGCTCCGGCTTCTACCGCAGCGACAGCGACAGCGGCGGCGGCGGCGGCGGCGGCAGCAGCTGAGAGAAGGGGCCCCTCAAGATACAGCCCGGCGCTGAGCCTCGCGAGAGTTTGAGGGCCGGCCGAGGGACGACCTGGGCGGGGGAGGAGGGAGGCGGAGGCGGAGGCGGCGAGCGGCCGCGCTCGCACCGCTCGTTCCCGGGGAGACGGGGAAGTCACTAGGCAGGACGCATGCGCGATGACGGCACCAGGTGGAGCCGGAAGAAAGGCGGGAGGGGCGGGATAGAATGGAGCGGAGAAGAATGGGGCGGGGCCGGACCTGTCCAAGCTGGCCGGGAGCTGGGGCGGGGTGGGGTGAGGGGGATGGAAGGGCCCACTCAGGGTGCTGGGGGGAGTTCGTGGCGGGAGGGAGCGCGTACCCCTCGAGAGAGAGATGTCACGGGGGCGGGGGGGCGGAGCCTTGCGTATCTTCAAAAGACAAACTAGAAATAACTTTTTTAAGTTTGAAAGCTCTCTGTGGGGAAAGAGCTGTGGCGGGGCGGGGAGGGGGGCAGTCGTTTCCTTGCTTCTTATCCTCTTTAAACTTTTAACCAGCTGGAAAATTTGCCCTGGGGGCTTATCCTGGAGGCCACCCAGTGGGCGGGGCCGAGAGACCTGCCCCGCCTGTAGCCACCCCTAAGTCATGCCTTGAGATCCCTCCCTGGATGTTGGGGGGTGGAGGCCGGGGCTGAGCCAGCCACATGCCCCTAAGAGTGCAGTGCCTGGCCCTAAACCCCCTCGGTTCCTCGGTTACACTGAGGCGAAGCCCTGGCACAACTTGAGTTTGGGTCTGCATCAGTGCGATTCAAGGATGCCACCACCTTGAATTAGAGCAGACTGCCGCACTGCCCAAGATTGCCATCAGTAGTCAATGGGCCTGTAAGGCTGTCACTTTCACCCGCTACCTACCTAACCACCATATTGGTCAATGCTGAGAAGAGAAAAACTGGGTCAAGAAAGCCATCAGGAGGGAGGCAGTGTGTCAGCAAGCCTTGTATATTTAACGCTTTGTGGCTGTGAAGTTACACCTTCACCTCAGACTTCTAGAGCAAGAGTCTGTGTTAAGAGCTTACTATGTGCCAGCCTCTGTGCTAAGTGCTCGGTATGCAAAGAAAGATAAAAAACATGGCTCTTTACCTCAAAGAGCTCACATCCCAATGGAGGAGACAGCATGAGAATAGCTGTGTACATACAAGAAATATCCTGCCTCTGGGCTTTTGCAAGGCTGGCCTAAACTGTGGATTTCAATTACACTCTCTCCCTTCCTCTGCTTCTTAAAAAGCCATACCTTCCTGAAAAGCACAGTTCAAATGCTAACTTTTTGCTAAGTATTTCCTGATCCTGCCAGTTACTGTTCTCTCTCTCTTGAAATTTCTTTGTATTTGAAGATCACGTGAGCTTCTTAAGGGCAAGGACAATTTGGTTTTTGTCTTTGTATCTTCAGTCAATAAACATTTATTGTCTACTATGTCCCAGGAACTGCATTTATTAAGTGTCTACTGTGTACCAGGAACTGGGCTGAACTGAGAATACAAAGAAAGGCTAGGGACAGCCAGCGAAAATGCCCAGAGCTGAGAGATGTGGGAGTGTCCTGTTGAAGGACTTAGCATCAGTGTCTTGCGCCTACCGGACCCTCAGTATTGGTCTAATTGGATTAAGTAGGAACACAGGTTACCAGCCACAAAGACCATACAACTTCCCCATCACTAGAGGGGATTCGTGCTTTGAATAGAAGTTAACCTAGGTGCACTTTCCTGACTCAAAATCGGTGGCACTCAGACACTCAGAAATGCTTACAGCTGCAGCACAGGCTCCACCGGGCTCCACGTGGATTCGTCCAATAAACATTCAACAGATACTCAACATCTCCTATGCTGGTTGTAAGAGGCAGCACTGAATGGTGAATATTATTCCAACTATTATTGGTGGTACTCCAAGCCAGCGAAATCTGGGGTCAAGTCCTGCTTCTAACACATACTGGCTGTGTGACCCTGGACAAGTGACTTGACCTCGCAGTGCCCCCACCCCCCAAGACAGCTTCTAGGCCTCTACATTGCAGAGAAGGTACAGAGTAGAGGTTTCTTGGCTCTGGAGTTGCACAGAATGAATGAATCAGATCCAATCCCTGTCCCTGTCCCTATGCCTTTGTTGGTTCTGGGAGATAGCACAATTAAGATAAGCTAGGGTGCCTGCCTTCCCAGTGTTTATAGTCTAGTAGGGGGCTGAGACAGACAGAAACATGGAAAACTATACTGTGACATAAGTACATGAAAACATTACAAACCAAAGTGCTGTGAGAGGTCCTGGGCAAATAAATATCACTGTTGCTCAAGAAGGCCTCACTTAGAAGGTGCGGTTTAAATTGGGTTTTCAAAAATAAGTAGGAATTCAATAGGTGCAAAGAGGAGGCCTCTGTAGCCCCAAAGAGCTAAGGTTCTGAGGCAAGAGAGGATAGGGCATGTTGGGGGTGGGGTAGGAGAAAGTAAATGTCAAGTGCATGGAACAGTGTGATATGAGGTAAGGCCTGAAGGAGCAGATAGGACTAGAACACAGGGAGGGCCTTTGCTGAGGAATCAGAACTGTATTCCCAAGCCAATAGTAGGAAGCCCCTGGAGATTTCTGAGCAGAGAGGTTCTATGACCAAGAAGGGCCTTGACTGTCAGTATTTGGAAGGGTGGGGAGGTCACAGGGCTTGTCCCTCTTCTGAGGATAGGTTAGAGGATGGGGAATTGAGTGGAGGCAGAAAGATCCATTAGGAGGCTATTACAGTAGTTCAGGTAACAGTGACCCATGTTTGGGTAGTGGCAGAAGGAAGAGAAAGAAGAGAACAAATATGAGAGGGCTTTGGAAGGCATGAGAGTTGAAAGAGTGCCGTGGGCCTGCACACTGGAGGCAGGATGGAGGATGGGCTCTCAAATAGGAACAGTGACACCTGAAGGAGAAACTGGGGAAGGGTGAAAGGTAACAAGCGCCCTCATCAAACTGGTGGCCTTGTTGGAACCAGTCAAGTGGAGCGGTCCTACCAACAAGTGGAGATACCGGTCTGGCACCAGAAGATAGTTAAGGACAGGAGAGCCAGCTTCGCAAAGGTGCTAGCTGACGCTGTCAGAGTGAATGGGATGGCCAATCCATAAGCAATCATTTCTGAAGTACCCAAAGTATACATTGCTCGAGGTACTAGGAGAGAGCATAGAGAAGAGAACAATCTACTAGGGATTCTTAAACCTACAGGGCAAGAAGGGACCCTCTAGGCCACCTAGTTCAACCCCTTCATTTGACAGGTGAGGAAACCAAGGCTGGGGGCAGGAAGGCAAACCATAACTGAAGGAAATGTACTGCGGGTCACTTCTCGGTACACTTGCAAACAGCCCATCGCATGTTTGTCCATGTTCTATTAACTCTGCCTACTTCATGGGTCCCATGTTAAAAAATGGTGGCTATCTCTGCCCTTGGGGTGTGTCAGTTCATATTCAATAAACTTATTAAGCAAGGGCAGTGGAGAAAAGCCTTTGCCCGGTCGAAGCCCCATCCTTGAAGCCAGCTGGTTGCAACTGTTTTAGCTTCTAGGGCTCTTTCTTAAGAACTAGTTGTTTTCGTAGTACTTTCTGATTAGTTGAGGGACTATCCACAAGATCTTGGAATTTCTTATCCTGCTGTGGAAGCCTAACCCCCTAAAATCTTTCTTACAAATGACATCACCGTACTATCTTTTACTATAAACAAAAACCCAAAAGGTACAAAAGCTTTCCTTTTGCTCCATAGTTGGTCCCTTTAAACTATAACATTGATATCAAAAACACAATGGTGGCAACTTTTGTGGAAAATTCAATGTGTTTCAAGGTGTCTTGGGTGATGATGTTGGCCATGGGGTGGCATCTAACCATTCTGGATCTCAATTTGGAATTGTTCAAGAAAAATGGCCACATTGTCCATACTCTTTGGCTCCACATTCTCAATACTAGATTTATGCCCCCAAGAAAGTCAAAGGCTGAAATAAAAGTCGAATATATCCCAAAACGTTCATAGTAGCACTATTTGGAATAGGAAAGAATTGGAAATAAAGTGGGTGCCCATCAACTGAGGAGTGGCTGAAAAACCTGACTGTAATAAAATGTTAGTGTACAAAGAAGTATGAGACATTAAGAAATGGTTAACTAGTCCCAAGGAACTTCCAGGCAAATTGCAGAGAAGAGACTCAGAGTTTTCTTTAATGAGAATTTATTATTAATTAATAAATTGTTTGGTAATGTGAACATTGTTTAGTAATTTGAACATTGAGCACAATTGTTTGGTAAATTTCCAAACAATTGCATTCATTTCACTTGCCAGCAAGATTATGCTTAAGATTCTGCAAGCTAGGCTTCACCAATATGTGAACCAAGAATGGAAGAGGCAGAGGAACTAGAGACCAAATTGGCAACATTCACTGGATTAAGGAGAAAGCAAGAGAGTTCCAGAAAAGCATCTACTTCTGATTCACTGATTACACTAAAGCCTTTGACTGTGTGGATCACAGCAAAATGTGGCAAATCCTCAAAGAGATGGGAGTACCAGATCATCTTGTTTGTCTCCTAAGGAACCTATATGCTGGTCGAGAAGCAACAATTAGAACAGTTAGAAGAACAGAACAGTAGAACAACTGATTGGTTTAAGATTGGAAAGGGAGTATTACAAGGCTTAATATTGTCACGTTACTTATTTAACTCATATGCAGA